AAATGCTTTGATGTCCTCTACATACAAATGCACCGGAAAATAGCCACAAGCATGCTTACAGATGTACCTGAAGAACCCCAATTTTCAGCATCAATAATACAGAAGAAAATCAATAGTTTCCACTTAATCAGATAAATACTAAATTGCAACCACAAAAAAACACTTGCCTAGCTAATCTTCGCCCCAAATTATTTTTCTCACCAATCGGAATGAGAATAAGTATAAGCAATATTCCTATAACTCTGAAACAAAATTTCAACAAAGTCAAACTCAAACTAGTCGACAGAAAGAAATAAGAGATAGAGAGAAAGTAAAGAGAAAACTAACTAACACGAGTGCTTTGGAGAAAGGAAGAAAAACAAAGGAAGCAATAAGGATTAAGAAGTTGAAATGGACGGAGCCAAGCCATAAGACCAACGCCAATACAGTATGCAATAATGACCCGGAATTCGTCCCTTTAAACTCCACCGGCGTCGGAGTTGACGGCGGCGCCGGTTTTTGATGAATTACAGAATCGTCATCTCGTATAGCCATGGGTGAAAATTCAAATCGAAACGAATAAAACAGAAAAAATGAATATGAAATTAAAGAATTGGTTATGAATTTATAGGAAGAAAGTTGGGAATCATGCAGTAGCTAATTTCCCTTTTTTATTAGATATTAGATAATAAAGAGGAGTGTTGGTTGTAGAATTGATGATGTTGTTCCAGCGACTTCGCGTCGAAAGCATCGACTTATTTTATTAATATTAACTCGTCCACTTTTAATTATCATGATTTTTATTTTTAAAATTAAATTATAAAAACTTTAATTAACTATGTATTTTTTCATATATAAAAAATTGTAATTTATATTATTTTTCATATAGTTTTTGAATATCTGATTTTTTTGTTTAAAATATTAAATTAATATAATTTAATTTAATCTTAAAAATTAATTAATCAATTTGACTTTTAAAAACGTAATATAACAAATAAAAAGTGGACAACGAGACTATAATTTTGATTTTGTGAGTTGTGATTTTGAAGTCAGCGCGTGGAATTTACTTTAACACGTGGTTTCTACAGAGAAAATGACAGGCAGATAAAATATGGGTCCTTTCTTCATTCTAGTGGTCACGTTACGAAGGTTAAAAATATTTATTTTGTCAAAAAGATATTATTCATTTTGTTTTATTTCGACTTTTTATTGGTTCTTTTTTATTTGTTATTATTTATCTATAAATTCTTCAATTTATTTAGAGAGTTAATGTTTTTTTTTGAAAAAGGTAGAGTCTTTTTAATGAATAAACTTAATTTTGGAATTCTATCAATTAGTAAGGATAAAATGGTAAATTCGTTATGTAAATTATTATTATTTTCTTAATAAGTGTATCAAGTTAAAAATAGACAAATAAATACTCCCTATGCCCCTAATTACTTGTCCACTTTTCCTTTTGTAGTTGTTCCTAGTTACTTGTCCATTTTGACTAATCAAGAAAGGACAATTTTTTTTAATCTATTATATCCTCAATTAAATGACTAATTATTTTTAAAAATATAGAACTTTTCATCCACTTCATAATTAATATGAGTAAAATGGTAAACTCACTATGTTATTAATTATTTTCTTAATAAGTGTGTCAATTCAAAAGTGAACAAGTAATTAGAGACAGAGGGAGTAGCAACAAAGGGAGTAGTATAATTTACATAAATTCATCGTGCTAAAAGCTAATTACAATTTTTCCTATGTTTTTTTTTCAAATTAACAAAAATCTCTTAAAACTTATGGATTTTAGATACATTACTGGACTTCCGGATACATCAACAAACATCTGATACATAAGGGAGGATGTATCAAAGAGAAGATAGGGATGTATAAGAGAAGGGATAGAACATCCGGATTCATAAGGGAGTGATGTATTTGGAGGGGATAGGATGTATCAGCGAGAGGAAAGTGATGTATCCGAAAGAAGATTTTTTTTAATAGTAGGAAATTTTAGAGATAATGGCAAAATAAAATGTGTATTTAGGTGATTTTTCCAAAAATGTATTACTCTCCTATTCACTTTTATTTGTCACTTATTTCTAAAATAGATTTTCATTTTTAGTTGTTATTTTTGACATATCAAGAAAAGACAATCTTTTTTTTCCATATTTTACCCATAACATTAAATACTATTCTCCATATCATTCTTTAAGACCCAATACTAAACATTTATTAGTAGGGATTTTATGGTAAAATACTTATATGAATAATTGTTTTCTTAATGTGTGTCAAGTCAAACAACGACAAGTAAAAACGAATGGATGTAATACTTTTTTCGAGGAATCAAATTGTTTGGCCAAAATTGTTTTGGAAAGAAACTAAAAATTTCTATTACAAAAAAAAAATTAGAAAATTATTTTTTCCAAGATTAAAATATTGTTACCATAGATACATATTTAAAATAATTTATCTTTATAAAATAACCTTAATATTGAAAGTGCGTTGATACTTATATTTTTTCATAATTTGACTCTCAAAAACATTTTTTTTTTTAAAACTTAATCAAACACAATTTATTTATTGAAGCAAATTAGCCAAAAACGAATTAGCCTAAACCAAATTATTTATTTCAAATTGAACTTTCTAGCAACAAAAGTCTCTTTTTCAGCCAAACATTTTGGCAAACGTCTCTTTTACAACCAAACATGTTACAGGCTGTACATACGTTGGGTTAATTTAGATTTTTTAAATGACAAATAAATTAGTTACGTCAAACTTCAAAATTTATAAATTATGTTAATAAAAAGAAGAAGATCTTATCAGATTATTATTTTTCTGATAAAGTCTTATTTGTGCTTCCATTTTAATTTTTTTAATAAGATAAAATAATTTGAAGTATTTCTTTAGAAACTAAACACAAAATGTGAGATGAGTGATGATTATATTAAAAAATACTAACAAAAATAATAATTAAATTACATAAAGTAAATATTATTAATTAATAAGTCATAATGAAAATGATTATAATCTAAAATTAATAAATCATATTAAACTAAATACAATTAATAAATAGTAATGATATGACTAAATATTTAAAATAAAGTTATGCACTGACACTATTTAAACAAATGCAAGATTAAAGAGTGATTATTTAACATAATATCCTTCTTAATGTTGAATTTCGACATTAATATTAATTTGATTTTGATTTTAGTTTTTAAACTTTTATTTAAATTACTACTAATCTTATTGAGCTATAAATTTTATTGAATTTATTTTGCCAGCATATATAGCCTCTAGCCGCAAGCTACGTATTGATTTTATTTTTTATAATAAAGAATTAAGAAAAGTAGATCTATGTTACCTACTCCCATTAAATTATACTTTTTTTTAAGATAGCATTGCTAACCTTGACTGGATTCTAATTGATTAGATTAAATACCTAGATTAACTAGAGATTATTCAACAAACTCTAATATATCATCGACCCATTTTTGATACTATATATGATTTCTTGTTGTTCTTGGAACGAACACTCATGTGTATGTGATAAATACGGGGGCAAAGCCAAAATTCTAGCTACGAATTTGTTATAACTAATGAGTAGTTATTTTCACTTAAATTATACTATATGTTATAATTTTTACAAAATTTGGGAAGCTATTATTTTAAAAATTCAAAATTTTGAATCCGCTTCTATTTGAATGCAAAGTATTCATATGTACAGTTTTATCCACCCCACACCCTTTCAAAACAAATTGTGCATGTGCAAAACAATTTGTTTCCTAAATGACAGGTCAATTTTCATGAACTAAAATTAAGGAATGTTTGGATTGACTTTTTAAAAGTTATTTATAAGTTAAAGTTAAAATTGAAACATTCAATTTTTTACTTTTAACTTTTTGGGTGTTTTTCAACTTGAAAAAGTGTTTTTAAAAAATACTGTTTGAATTAGTTAAACATTTTTAAAATTAAAAAATAACTTAAAAGTAAAAAAAAATTAAAAAATAAATCAATCCAAACACATTGTTAATGGTTTTTTACTTTTAAGTTATTTTTTAATTTCAATTTGTTATTAATAATCAATTTTTATTTGTTGTAGTTAAAGTATTTGAAGTAGTGTTTACTTCATATATATAAAATCAATCCATCAAAAGGTAACAAGTTAGCCAAACATTATATTCATTCCTAGCTAGCACATATCAAATAATAGATCAATCGTCCGAAAACGATCTATATATAAGGATACATATTTGGTAATTCTAGTGCTATGGCTAGAGTACTCTCTATAATTTTTACTCTTACGCTACATATTTTATTGAGTCATATTTCATAGTTTAACTTGATAGTTGGTATAATTGTAGTTTTCTCATGGATCATAAACCATCATACTAAGCTAGCTAAACGTTTCCTAATTATTATTATGTTTATGCTTGTGCTTCCACGTACAAAATAAGTTGCTTAATTGGTTGAATTTTTTGGAGTATTAATTAAGAGATGCAATTGTTTTGTTTTTCATGTATTTTTGTAAAAATATAAAGTAGTATATCATGAAAAGACCATATCCCTTTTAAAAGTGAAATAGTACAAGTCAAATCATTATCCAATATTCACATTATCTTGCTCCTGCCAGCATTGATATCTCTCTTTATTACTTTGACAATCACCAAAAGATCTCAGCAGCCTAGATTATTGCACAAGATCAAGTCAGTAGTCACCCACTCATTTTTAAATACGGTATTGTATTTTTAGTTCAAACTTTATATATATCTTTAGAAAATTAAATATTCATATAAAATTTAGCTAGACGATCACTTTCTATAAATTTATAATATATAAAAAACGTCTAAATTTTGAATCTTCTAGCCGATAGGTATGTTGGATGAGAAAATCATAAGCAATCAATCCACTTGAAGCTTAACGATAGGTATGTTGGATGAGAAAATCATAAGCAATCAATCCACTTGAAGCTTAAACAAGTACAAATTGCAAGTATTGGGAATATAATTAAATTACATACATATTTTCAAATTTTAATTACATCCCAATCGAAGCCAGCTGCCAAGGCGCCATTTTTTCTTTGTCATTTTAGCATTACCAACAACTTTATCTGATTTCTCACTACTTAAAGATACTGTCGACGCTTCTTCCTGTAAAATATATATTATTAATATTAGCCAATAATCATATGTTGTGACAAATTAAAGAACTGATCATGTATTAATTGTTATATATAGAAGACACAAGCCTATATATTGTATGATAAAAAGATAATTAAGCAGGTAAAGTATAAAATGTACTTATCGTTCATATTATTTTTCGCACTAAAAATGTGATACCAAACCTAACTCAGATCCAAAAGTTAAGAATGACTTTGATACCATGTAAAGATATGACCCCTAAGCTTAACTCAACCCCAAAAGCTAACTCATGAGAAGAGGATTGCTCAAGTCCATATAAACAGACCACCAGTCCATCCTCCAATCAATGTGGACTTTTACCCGGTCTAACCGTTTCACTTGAGTAACACTTAACTAGTAAGCATCAAGGATGATTTTGAAGAAAAAAAGTGATAAATCTCCTTATTTTTATTTAAAAAGGAAAATATATTCCGCTTTATCAGTTGGTTGGTTAGTTGACTATCTAGATTTTAATTTTATCTAAACGTTATTTATTTACCTGGAGTTGTTTATGTTTGAGATTGGCCTTTTCGTCTTCGTTGTCATGATTTCTTGACTTGGATGAACTCAACCTTGATGTTTTCCCTTCTTCCATTTCTAAGCTTAGCTGCAACTAAACAACACAAATCAATATTTTATATATTACATATGTTATTGTCTTAGTTTGACTGAACACAGAGTTTTAAAGAATAATAATGACTTTTGAATCAATCTTTTGATTATCTTAAACTAAAAACACGTGTAATATATATTAAAATATTCTTTAATCTTACGATCTTAAACCTTAAAAACTCGATTCTCGAGTGCAGTGAGTCGATCAACAAGAGTGCCTTTGTGATGAACTTCTTCAAGTGCAGTAGATAGACTCAGAGTACTCCTGCAGTACTCTGAGTCTTCTTCTTCTTCTCCTTTCTCATTTTTTGGTGACATCCCATGTTTCTCTTCCAGAACCTGCAGCTGCATTATATGTCACGAAAAGTCGTGAACATTTATTTTTAGTATAATGGACGAATAAAAGTGAACAGAGGGAGTAGTTACCAGGAAATCGAGGCGATCTAATCTTGGAAGAACAGGTAAGGAAGAAGCGAAGTCTTTACTATCTAGATCCTTCATTTTTATTAGCTAGAGATGTTAATGGATGGAAAATGTAGCTAAGTTTTTAAAGATGGTGATGACTGAAGAAGAGGATGGTGATTATTAAATAGAAGTGACATAATGTGAAAGTGAGGAGAGGGGGGTTGGGTTTACTAATTATTGGCAACTCCTATGCCATACCCTTTTGTCACCATGCTAGATTGGCTTAATCATTGCTCTTTGACTTGTACTCTTTTTTTCCGTAACATTGGTGAACAATAAATTGAGATGAGTTTGAATCTGATACTATACAAATAGATGGATTATAGGTTTCACTCAATTCCAAAAGTTAACTTATGAAGAGAAGTTTATCCAAATGATTAAATTCTCATCGCTCTACGGATGTCAAACTTCTTAACAAGTATGTCTTTTGAGAATTAAGCATTATTAAGAATGAATCATTCTTTAATACGAAAGTATAGTTAGAAACAAATGCGTTTTTTTTGTTTTAAATTTTTAGAACCATACTTATTTTACTTATTTTTTTGTTGTTGCTAAAATGATACTTATTTTAAGAGGGAATAATTTTTTTTAATTTTTTTTCGTTTGGAATCTTATCTCATAGTGGCCTATCTAATAGTAATATAGTGTATAGAGTATAATCTATGTCAATGACGTAGAAACAAATACTAGTAGTTAAATCTCAACGACGTGGTTGTTTCTATCCCTATAGCTCGTTACGTGCACCTTAGTGAGGAAGATCTTGTTTCATTGTTTGGCTGTTGGTGACTATATTGTTATGAATTATGATCAGTTTTAACGTGTTATTTATAATTAAATAACTATGTTTTCGATAGATGCTCGATTAAATGAAAATGATTTTCATAATAAATTTGAAAGAAATGTCAAAATATAAAGCTATGTCGAAAATATTTTTAGAATGAGTAATTCTTGGACATATTTTGAAGGTGTGTGTCCTCCGTATATTTGTTTCTTTTTTGTTAATCACAGCCTTAACAGGTATTATGGTGGACTTTTAACAAAGATTTTATGCATAGTAATTCTATATTTTTACCTCTCTTTAGTTTTTTTTTTTTTTTTTTATATATACTTTCTACTTTTTTTCTTGACTTGAATCTATCATTTTATGATTGGAGGTGAAGAATATATCATCAGAGCAACTCCCCCGTACACGCATGATGGTCAGATTCTAAATAATCAAATTCCTAAGGTCTCATTGGTAATTTGGGATATTTCACGTGCATTCAGTCATTGATTACATTAGAACGCCAAATCTTAGAGCTTTTACTTCCAAGATACTGAAAATCCTTTATAAAAAAAAAATATTGAAAATCCTTTTTTTAATGTTATCACAAACAATTTTTTAAAATAAGATTCTTAGTTGGTTAAAATGGTTGTGCATCACACAAGTCCATCGTTTCCCAAGGACAAGGAGAGTACCACACGGCAATTCATGATGTCACGTAGGGATAACAAAATCAAACCTAATTCGTTTAAGGTTGGAGGGTTATTGATCCGCCTATTTATTTGCTTAATTTATTTTATTCATTAAAAGTTGGGTTAATATATAGTCTAAATCAATGAAGAATCTTGTCAAAATATTTTTATATATATATTTTTAAAAATAAATATGTTAACAAAAGATACAAACAAACAAATAAAACTTAGTAAAAATTAAATGGGTTGGATTATGATCCGTATTTCAGCTCAACCCCCACATTTAACATCTTTATCGCCATGTCATATTAGGCACCAATCTTTTATGACTACCAAAGAAATGCATTAATTAAGTGTAAAAAATATTTTTGAGTTCGGTAGGTTTTCAACTTTAATTTTTTTATGTTGATAAAAAAGCTATCAATTCTCTCTTTTCTTATGATCGATCCACTTATGTTCAAGACCATTTTAAAGCAATATGTGCTTGAGTTTGCTTCTTTCCTATATTTAAATTTAAATAGACTAGGAAGACTTTGCTAGGTGTATTTATTTTGTTACAATTTTGTCTTTGCATTGTTTAATTAGATGGTGTCTTTAACCAAAGAAATACACAAACAAATTTTGATAGAAAAAGAAATGAAAAAATTAGTGAAACCTCATTGTAATGGTCATTCGTTACAACTCTATTTCATTATAACAGCCTAATTTTCTCCGTAACTAATTTTTCATGTTATATTTCGCTTCAACCTTTTACACTACTGAAGTGTATGTAGAAACCTGAAAAACTATTTCTTTTTTCTACTTCAACCAAATATGATCTAAACATCTACTCCTCTAATCATCATGATCAAAGGGCTTAAGTAAACCATATGAGAGAGCCATTGAAATCCACCCTCCAAGTAAAACTCTCATAGCAGATATTTTCACTGATGAACCACCAAGATAAGCTCCAATTCCCCCAAATAAACACAGAGCTAATGATGCTACAAGCACCATAAAAAAAATCCTGATTCTGTTTTCACTCACCAATAGAGCTGGAATCATAGGAACAAAGGCTCCAAAGAGAAAAGCCAGAGACGACGCTGCTGCAGCCTTCAATGGACTAGGCAGTGGCTCTAACTTTATGTCATTGTCCTGTTTTGATTCCTCCATCATGGTTCTTCTTGCATCAAATTCCATAACTTTTGTCAGTGGAGATCTTGAAGGTGTCAAAGAATTGGACTGTATACGTACAGGTGATTCATATAGAAGTTTTCCGCCTTGTGTTGAAGTGGCTAATATACTGTGAAAGACCATGTCATGAGGAACTTCACCTTGCTTGGTTTCTGCAATATTAGTTGGACTGCTTCCTTTTAACTCGTAAGCAATGGACTTTGTTATGTCTCGTTGAGTTGAAACAGAGACAAACTCTCCAACAGCCATGCTACAAGCACCTGCAAGAGCTCCAGCTATTCCAGAAAGAACCATAGACCGTTGATCTTGATCTTTAGCTGCACCCACACCGAGCATCAAGGATGTGGTGGAAAGCAATCCATCGTTTGCTCCAAGGATAGCTGCTCGAAGCCACTGAGCTCGGGTTAGTTTCTCTAAAGTTTTCTCTTCCTGGGCAGTTGCATGAGAACCTTTCTTACCACAGGCCTCAGTTGACTTGGGAGAATCCATGATTCAATGAATGGGAGTGTGGCTTTTAGCCATAGGCACGCTTGTACTCGTGGAAGCAATATGTAGGAACCCCAGTTTATAAAGAATGAATATTGATATCTAAGAATCATCTTACTTAGGTGGCACCGTGGAAAAAAACAAGCTGATACGTGAAAACCGAGAAGAACAACATAAGCAAACATCAAACTATACAGACAACAACCAACTGCAAATGAAAAGTAAATTTCTATTGTTTGTTGCTCCAAATAGAGGAAATCTAGAGCATCACTTTGTCTCATTCTAACTAGCAGCTCATCTAAACCAAATTATAAAAATCTTTTCATTCAATCAGCATCTTAACTCAATATGTAGAGAAGAGATACATATAGTGATGTACATAGATTTTTCTCCAGTATGACGTCCTCAGTTAGCACCACGTAGAAAAGCTATCTTAGCTTGAATGGCTGCATCACGTAAACTAGCTTCTAATCTGATGAGGAGCCTACTTATGCATATGACGCACATACTTTAGCACAAACATTGGTGAGCTGTTCAACTTTGAAAATGTGCACTAGAAAATGTTTCTGATAGACTAACGGTTACACTAAGAGTCATCCTGTTCTCTTCAAACAATAGAACTCAACTCCTATAATCTTCATCTTTTCCGTTTACTAGTCCCTACCATAACAGTAAGACCTTCATTACTCTGGCATTTACTTTTTAACCCCATATATCATATCCAGTATTAAAACCAGCTAATCCAGACATTGACAATAGGAAAAAGGAAGAGGCTGACTGTAAGAAATTACTGTGCACATTTTATCTGGAAAAAAATACACTTGAAACAGAGAGAAAGGAGAGATTAGCATGGAGAATTTAGTCCGGCTCGTTTATTTATCATTTTCCATTCTTATCACGAAACTACAGTTACAAGATTTGACATCACAGCTCCTACTGCTCACTTCCGTCAGTTCCAAGAGCCAAATAGTTTGAGTGCAATCACTATGCATTTATATTCGAAATGCCCAATATTTCTATGCTAAAGTCCCTATCTTTTCTCTTCTCTTGGAGAATTGGATGAACTTCGCCGCCCCAGAGAGTTGAAAAGCTCAAAGGAAGTAGACTGCAAAATTCAGAGTTCTGTGTGATTGCACAACAAGGAAGGAGAAAGAATGTTGTGGAACAACTGAACCCTTTTTTACTCGCTCGCGATCAGTGTTTCAAGAAATTCTCTCAGGCAGATACTACAAAAGTGAGAAACAGTAAACTAAAGCAATAATATAAGCATACTTTAGAGATAAAATTTAGATGAGCAAGAACTATATTGATCTTATTTCAAAGAAATGAATTACAACATGTAGAATGTAGTATCAAACCATTCTGTAGATATCATTAATCGATTCCAATAAACAAATGACTTGATGGTTTCTGAGGTACAAACACTAGGAAAAAAAAGACTTGTTAATGCAAATAATACATGTTAAGATGCTATTAGAGTGTGAAACTTTTTCTTTCACTTAATAAATAAGAGGAAGGAATATGTGCTGATATACTATCAAAATGAGAGTAGATTGAACTTATAAGTTATGCTAATTGCTATGAATGTAACTTAGGCAGGACCTATTTGAATAATCTTTTGACTATTTATTACAACTTATCAGTAAATACACTGTGAATGGAAGTCTATGCTCCAAAAGTCTTGGTAGTGAGGGACAATATAAAGAATTAGTGATTTACCAAGGTCGATAAGTTACAGTTAAAAAGCAACACTAGACTGGTGGATAACTAATAACTTACACAAGTTGTGCCTAGTGATCACCAAGTAGCTTGCCTAACCACAAATCGATAAACTGTTATTTTCAAATGAGAGATAGAAAGGTAAAATCTGGTAATCCAAGATTTTTAGACAAGTGATAGATACAAAATTGATAAAGTGGAATGACAAGTATTGAGAAGACAATTAGTACACTGATGCTGCTCTAGAAAGAATAAACCTCGAGAGAAATATCCATTTTCCATGATAATTTTCTTTGGAAACAACCACTAACATGCAGCATCTGAACATGCATATAAAGATGCTGCAGATATCACCTAAAAATTGCATATTAGATGTTACATATATCCATCCCTGCGGTCTTGTTCCTCTGCCTCCTTGTTAGCAACTTGTACTGATTTGAACCAAAGGAATGCCTGGATATATGTTCTAATTAGCTCAAATGAACATAGAAACATCTACTTTTCTTTTTTCTTTTTGCCAAAAGTAGTAGTCCCCCTGTTTAATTTGTTTGTTTGGTATTGACTTGATACGGAATTCAACAAAGTAAAGAAAACATTTGTAAACATTTCCCGTGGAATGCCAGAATTATGGAGTTACCAAAAAAGGGAAAACACATGTTTTTTAAAACGGACTTAAAAGAAAATTAGGACAAACAAATTGAAACGAGGGAGTATTGTTGAACCAAAATGTAACTAACAAAACAAAGATAAAATGATTAAGAAACTTTTTCATTGGTTCCTCAATCCTCAGTCATATTAAGGAAGTTGTTAGCTTATAATTAAAATATAAAAAATAGCTACCATTATCTTAAAATGTGGATATACAGGCAGCAAATCACCTACAAAAGGGTTGAAGACAGAACTTGCAAAAAGAACAAATTTGTTTAGTACTAGCTCCCGTTAGGCCATAGATTTGAAGACAAAAGTTGAAACTTTATGAAGTTGTGATTTTTAGAACTTGAAGTTGTATTCGGACATGCATTTGAAGTTTTGCGAGTGGAAGTCCCAAAAACTCAAAAGAGCCAGTTTTTTTGGGAACTTGAAAATATTTGAGGATCACATTTTCAACATCTAATCAAATTTCAAGGCAAAACAGATATTTAAATATAATTTTTCAAAAACTACTCCAAAAATCTATGGCCAAACGCTAAGCTTAGTTTCATCATTCAAAACAATTCAACTTAACCAAAACAGCAGAAACACATGAACAGAGAAAAAAAAAAATACTAAATCAACTTACAGAGGTGGGAATGCCAGTGAAAACAAAGAACCCAAGCAACGGAGCATAAAAAACACTATCTGAACCCAAAACTCCAAACACAGGTTTCTGATTCGTGTACTCGAAGATAGAACCAATCTGCACTCATAAACCCAATCAAGAATCAATCTTTATAAAACCCCCAAAAAACTTCTCCACCAAAAATGAAATTCCAGATAAAAAAACTCACCGCTGCAATTGCTGTGACAGCAGAAGCAAGCAAATAAACAATGAATGGAACTTGAAAGCTTGAAGAATCTTTTTGTGCTTCATTTCTAGCCCATGGTGGAGGCTCATCCGTACCGGGTTTAGCCCATGTAGGAACTGATGGGTCTTCTTGTTTTTCTTCATCTTTTCCACTGGATTTGTTAACAGAGCCTTCAGTAGCAGCTACAATTCCAAGGCTACGACTTGCAAGCGATTTTCCCCTTTTCTTGTAATAACTTGAGGAAGAGAATGTAATGAAATTGGGTAGAGATGTTTTTGAGGAATGGATAAGTGACGAAGAGGAATTGCAGAGAGATGAAGAAGCTAATGTCACCATTTTTGTTGATGTGTTTTGCACTGTATATTTTCATGGTGGAATATGGCTATCAGTTGTGAATAAGAGATAAGAGGTTCACTCAAAAAAAATATCTCCTTTATTTTTTTCGAAAACAAAAAACTTGTGGGAATTTTATTTACCAAAAAAATAATAGTAGTAAATTTTAGGTTTAGCAAATATAAAAATTATATTTGTATGCTATAATCATAGTTTGTATAATTGCGCTTCATAACAAATTTATACATGCACAAAACTACCGAAAATGGCAAACTACATCTCATATTAAAATAATATAGCTATAGTATACTTTATTTATATTATATGGTTATATTTAACTAATAAATAGCAAATACAATTTAACACGCCTAAAATTATTTTATACAATTTCACACACCTAAATTTTGTTTTCCCTCTGTTCACGCTTCTCTCTTTCCTACTCCTATTTTTTCAGCTTTCATTCATTATCCCAAACCAAATCTTTATCCTCAAATCACAAACATTACTCGTAAATCAACTTCACCTCTTCAAAGTATCCACAAAATCAGTCTCTTCGCCCGGATCCTTTCAATCAGCGACATTGCTTTATTTTCGGAGTTTTATTTGTTGTTTAGATCCTACAGGTTTCTTCAAATTCTTATTTTTTTTCTATTTTTTTTCTTTGAAAGTCTTATATAGCTATACATTTATATTTATTTCTAGTGTTGAAGTTGAAGGTTGTTTTCAATATTGCAATATCAGAAACAAATACTCTAAGGAGGATCACAAGAGGTACATATTATCCCGATAATTGCATGGTGGAAATACCCTCGTTTGATTTGTGTATAACTCAAATACAATCACAAATTTCAGGCTCCATTGCTGCAATGGAGATAGAGAAGAAATCAAATTTTCTTAATATCCCTATAACATTGGATTTGAATGATGAATTAGTAAGGTCGGGTTCTTCTAAAAGGAAAGAAGGGTCAACAATGAAAGTGGATGAAACAAAAATTGACAAGAGGAGGAAAGTCAAACATGTTGTTTCAGGCATGATTGGAAATCATGTAGTTAATGAAGAACAAGAAGAAATGAGCGAAGAAGAACTAGAGTTATGTATATTTTTTAATTCTTTTGGGATGTAGAATAAGTGTATACATATATACCTGCAGTGTACTGTAATTCGAACAAGAAAGGTTAGGTGGAGGATATATAATTTGAAACTGGAGTATCGGGAACTGAAAATTTTAGAGTAGGTGCCTTTGTAGTATTTTGTCTTGGTTTCTTCGCTCATATTAATTTTTTGAGCTTAGTGGTAATGTTTATGTATATACTAATCTCTTCAAACCCCACTTGTAGGATTTTAGTAAGGATGTTGTTATTATAGCTCTGTATGAATATGTATGCTGAAGTGCTTCTTTTAACTGAACATGTAATCTTCTTTTGATATGAGCATTAGAAATTGCAAGTAATTTGGATGTAGGATTGTAGTTAGTGTTCAACTTGTAATGTATTCAACTTGCATGCAATGTTTATTGGTGTAACCATTTTGCATTATGTTCTGGCACATAAGATTTTTGTTGGTGCATAGTTTTACATAGTAGTTACATTTTAATAGAGTTTGGATTATTTTTGATTGTGTCATTTATATGTGGTTTAGGAGATCCTTATTTTGTTAAGTTGATGTATGTGGGAGTACATCAATCTCATTAATGCAACTACTCGCGAAATATTAATGTACTTGTACATGTGATTGTTGTCTAGCATGCTATTCAATGGCTCTTCGTGTATGTTGTCAATTGTAACTTGTAATCAATATCATTCTAATGTACAGTAACTCGAACAAGAAAGGTTATGTGGAGGATATACCTTCCAATGTATTATACTATGGCATACCTTTAATGTGTCATACTTTCACACATTGAATACCTTCTAGTGTATTTGGGGTTATGTTGTCATTCTGTTTTTTGAAAATGACTGTAGTTAAATGGTAGTTTACTGAATATGTGGATACTTTTCAGTAGCGGTGTACATGACCGGGTTGGTTCGAATTTTTCAAATATCAAACCAAACCATTTGTGTAAAACATTTAAATTTATAAACCAAACCAAACTAATAAAATTCAGATTTTTTTGGGTTTTTCAACCTCGGGTTGGTTCGGATTTTTCAAATACCAAACCAAACCATTGTGTCGACTAAATCAAACCAAACTAATACACCTCGGATTTTTTCAAATTTTTGGATTTTTTCGGTAAAGTTTGCATACAAACATATAATTAACTTGTGTCCAATTATTTCTTTAATCCAACCAAAATACAATTATCTAAGATGTTTCTTAAGAAAATAATACAAAATATGAGATGAGTATTGATGACACTAAAATATTCAATAAAAATAATAATGAAACTATCATATAAAATAAATATTGTAAAGTCATAATGAAAATGATCATAATTTAAAAGTTACTAAATCATGCTAAAATAAGTTTAATAAGTATTAGTTACATTACTAAATATTTAAGGAAAATTAAAATTAGATTATGTATTTTAATTGTCTAAACCAATGTAAAACTAAAGAACAAATATTCAATATTATTGTCATTCTTAGTGTTGAATTGATTTTCTTTTTGCATTAGTATTAATTTGATTTTGATTTAAGTTTTATTATAATTATCAACATCTATGAACTATAATCTTTATTGGACCATTCCGAATTCTAAGTTTTAAACTTGAAATAATATATTAAAAGATAAAACTATGAAATAATATAAGAAATATTTTAAAATTATATCAAAGTAAATATTTTTATGTATAAAACAAAATTTAAAATTGCATATATAATGTCAGGTTGGTTTGGTCTCGGGTTGGTTTTTTTAGTTAAAACCAAACCAACCCAAATATAGTCGGGTTGTTTTTTTCCAATACCAAACCAAGTCAAACCAAATCACTAGTCGAGTTTTTTTTTCGGTTTGCGGTTTGGTTCGGTTTTCGGTTCGATTTTGTACACCCCTACTTTTCAGATTATTTTTTGCATCAAATTTATTTTGTGTCAGTGCATCTTCTATTTGAATGTGTTGCCTTGTATGTATGCATAGAATTGGCGGTTGATATGGATTTGGGTATTCATCTGATATCAAACAAGAATTGGTTCTACTCTCTGTCTTATGATAAACAACTTCTGAATGATGAGGTAAAAATATGAATATATACGTAAAAGGTATTGTTCCTGTTTATAAGATGTGCACATACATTTATTAATTATTATTTTTTGACAGCATATTGATGTGGTTCTATATTATTTGCGTAAAAAAAGTAAGTACAACATCAATAGTCGCTACAGATACACTACTGTTGACTGTCTGTTCAATTCAAAAATTGCTGAAATTTATGCCATATGCTCAAGTTGGAAGCGAAATATGTGTTGCAAATGTTGAAAGCGACATACGTGATTACATAAATGGGTATAGATGAACCAGGGTACGTCTTATCCAAGGTATACAAGTATCCAGGTAGCTTCCCATAAGATGCAGCTGGTTGCCTCATTGTTAATTTTAATGCCTTCTCTTTTGCTCACCATGCCAACATGTAGTTAATATCAATACCCAAGTCCAATCTAACGTCATACCTGATATCATTTTGAGTGTACTTTCTCTTGTGTTTTCTCAATTTAGGTGCGATTATTCCTCCAATCAATCCACTTGTTGCACGACAATCTGAATGCACCCCATCCTTTAAAGGGCATGTATGTTCAGAGTTAAAAACTCTAATTCTGAACATCTTCGATTAGTTAATACTTGACGCTTTCATCAACCATGTGCATTCTTTAGATTGACATACAAGAGTATAGCTGCGAATACAATTTATATTTTTTTGTTAGTTTTGCTTTGCATCTGCAAACATAACTCAATACACTTAAAATGAAACAAATTTAACAACAATTTACCTAATAGAGTTTGACCTCTCCACCAAGAATTTAAACCTTTTTTCTATTGAATACTTTTCCATCACATCCTTCAATGTCGACTTATCCATGTATATCTGATCCACCATTATCTCCTTTTGCGATCAATTCGTAATTATTAAATCATTTCCACCATCAAATGCATCTACTGATTGATCGCCAAACGTTGGGACAATTGGTAATATATCATTCGTACCAATTAATTCTTGATTGTATTCAAGTTGCAACACATCACCTTCAATAGAAGTTTCTCCAGAATCAGAATATACTATATCAATATCGAAAATACTTACACACAAGGGATATACTCCAAATTGAGTGTTGATTTTTTTCAACTGAACATATACACGCACACCTATGTTGTTACGTATTTTTATAGGCGTGTCGTTACCTTCGACATTGTATTTGATTTTCATACACTTTTTTGTAAGATCGACATTCAATTGTACCGAAATCAAATCAACTAAATCAGAATACGAAGCATACTCCTTCAACACTATCCCGTCAATGCTATATTCTACATAGCGATTCTCTTCGCTCCATTTTCCGGAATGCCGGATCAAACTGTGATAGTAGCCATGGAATTGTATTTTTGTTTTAGGCGTGAAATGAAGAAGAAAGAAGGAACATATTTTCTATTTTTAAACTTATCAGAATCCTAGAAGGTATAGGTCAGTTACATTTTTTAAAGTGCCAAATTAGTGAGTTTAAGGGCTGAAAAATAGCCTTGTTAGTTACATTAACTGACCTCATTTAGTGGGAATTTATTTTGAATGTATTTTTGTATTAAAAAAAAAATGAAATGTTTATGAAATTCAACTATTTTTTAACTCAAACTGTAGCTATTTTTTTTAAATATGATACTTATAGCTATTTCAATCTAATAACCCTAAAACTATAGTCATTTATGTAAGTTATACTAAAAAATATGTATTTGGGTCTATTTGTATATTTCGGTATACAAATGGGTCCAGCATTTGTATATTTCGGTCTATTTGTATATTTTGGTATACAAATGGGTCCTGCATTTGTATATTTTGGAATACAAATGGGTCCTACATTTGTATATTCGGTCTATTTGTATATTGGTATACAAATGAGTCCTGCATTTGTATATTTCGGTATGCAAATGGGTCCTGC